GTCTTTATGAAATAACATAAAATATAATAATAGAATATTATAAATGTAAAATTTTACCTTATTTAATTACAAGTTTTTATTTATTTGAGAACTGGTGCATATACTCTTGAATTAAAATAATAGGATATCCAATTTTTATGTTTAAAAAATTTACCCATGAGGTTAATGTAAGATGAGAGTGCAAAGATTGTATGAAAAATACTATATTAAGACGCACAATCCATACCATAGTTTTTATTTTTAATGTCTTAACAAACTAGCCTATGTATGTAAAAACAAATAACAACCTGTTATACTAGCACTGGTTAATATTTTTTTTTTACGGGAAATAAAGCATTGCCGGAGGAATGCAGAGGAACAGCTATCTTTATAAATATAATTGATCAGCTGTTCAACTCATTCAACGGATCAAAGTCCAAGGACGACGCAAAACATTTAAAAGGATGTCTAAAAAGAAACTCTGCGCATTTTAAGAAGTGGAACAAATTTTTACCAATTTTGCGTTCAATAGGGTTTGAAAGTGATGAAGACGATAAGCACAGAGATGGGCCTGAGTTTATAAAATATGTTCAAGTTCCATTTTTAAAAAATCGGATCACAAACATTGAAAGCATGAAATAAATATTTACATTATTAAATAAAGAATATGATGTACAAACCCTATTGACGCGAAACTTTAATCAAGATCATTTGGAATTTTTTTTGTTGTATGGAGTCATGGTGTCAGAAATATCTCACCAACTTGTAGCCAATTTTCTAATGCATATAAATCGTTAATTATTAATAATTATACATCACATAATTCTGTTGGGGCAAATTGTGAAAAGGATGGAAATATTATTGCAAAATTTAAAATCACTAGTTGTGGAAGGCTATATAAATCACGAAGAAACTTACGATAATATCTGTTTGGATCCGTTAATTAATGTCTTAAATGAGTATAATGATAGTATAAGCCAGAAATAATCAAAACAATATGTAGCTGGATATATAATTAAAAAATGTAAACCGATTTTTACATCTTACAGAAGGTGCAAAAATGAATTAATTAAGAAACATGATATATCCAGCTACAAATATGAAAGGGATTATACAAAAAAATCATTGTTTTCTCCCAGTGAAGTACTATATCAACATTTAAATGAATTTTATCACATAACACATGCAACACTAAAAGAATCTCCTGGTAATAAAAAAATTAAAAAGTGAATAACGGACCTTGCAGAAATTTTCTGCAATCCATCTTTTTTTACTTGTCCCATACATAAAAATGATTCGATTTTTTTATCAATAATTATATATGCTTACTTATAAATAGTTGGTGTACAAATTTAAATCGTATTTTAAAAGGAAAAATGATATGTTCTGACAACCAGGATTTAGTAAAATTACAAGCATATACCTATTGTAAAACTCATAATAAATACAATAAATAACATCTTGTATTTTATTACAGGTTGAAGAACTAATTTCTTCAACATACCCATTTAAATAAAAAATAACTAAATTAGATACTTTTTATCCATGCCATCTAGTAGGTGACCACGCAAAGAATCAGCGCCATCTTCAGGAACGAACTTGTAATTAATAATTTTAAAACCTCAGTGGCGCGTATCTACTCCCGATTATATTAGCTTGTCTATGAGTAACCATAAGTCGCTGCATGAACATGCGTCACGTAAATTTAGCAGCGGGGGGCGGGGGGAGTGGGACGGCAAGATGTGGTAGCGGTTCGCTAGTGGACAGAACGACTTCGCTCACGTTATCTATCGTACTGTTACATTGTCGGGTTAACTCTGTAGGCCAATACAGTACAGTCCAAGTTTAATTTATTCTCATCAGGGTAGGAAGTTCTCCCTATTACAAGATGTACAGGGCATTGTCCCCAACACGCTTTTTCATCTAAAAACTGACACCAAGAAAAGCCGAATGACTTGCTTATTACCGAGAACTTTTGGCGGTGTATAACATTTCCATCATATTCTCGAGGTTCTGAATGCCACCATCTTTATTGGCCACAAACCGCTGCTGTACGCTTTCGTACAGCGGCGAGAGAAACTTCCTTCATCCCAACTTAAGCAGTTGTATTTTATTAGCCAGTTCACCACAAACAAAAAATATATTAACACGTTCGCTGCGACACAAGGCTTATAGGCCTGATACATGAACTTGCAGTCGGTGCGGAGCGAAAATACAGCGTTCTCCCTCTGGTGCGAACGCAGTAACTTAAAGATTTCTCTATAAGTGATAAAGACAAGTATATATTTAAGACCGTCTTTTCAATGGCTATTCATTTAAATAATAATATTTGTATCAGGCCTATCGACCTTATACCGCACTGGAGAGTAGAAATTGACATTCAGTGCGGATACAAGGCCCATAGGCCTTATGGGAAGTACAATGCCTAACTGCCTCATACCGCACTGATTGAAGAGTTAAAATTAATTAGTGTTGTGTTGACAGCTTTTACAAATGCATGTGCGTACGATTCATAAAAAATGTATCGAGTCAATAAACGTTGTCGAAAAATGCTCGAGCTGTCTTTTCAAAATGCTCAAGAAGTGGTGGACCAAAATAACAGTGCCAGCTTACAAGAAAAAAACAAATTCAAATCCTTCAGGATGTTATTGTTAAGCCAGCTTTTACAAGCAGTGAAACTACAACTTTTCAAGAAGGTCATTATTGTAGGAAAGCAATAGACGAACTGAAGCGAGGTCGCTGCAGTTCATCTATTGCTTTTCAAGAACCTAGCTTCAGTTCAACTTTACACGATAGCTCAATGCGGGTAAGTCCTCAAGTTAGAAAGACTTATTTAGACTTTACGCCTAAAAGAAAGAAAATACAAAAATCAGAAAACGATGTTTATGTTAGTCCTAGTACTGGCAATACTCTTCATGTACTGGAAAACGCTGAATACGGACTTGCAACTCCTATCCGCAAATATTATAATTTACGAAAAGAAACTCCAGTAACTCCGAACGTATCAAATCTTACAAGCAGGACTAGTTCTATTAGTGACATTTCATGTGCAAAAATCCTTATTATGCCCACTATCCAAGGAGGAAATCTGTGCAATATATGACACCCAAACGCAGAATAATCAAAGTTCATTGACAAATTTGAATATTTCTACAATTTATGGTAAAGATTTAAATCCAGATGCATCTAATAACAATTATACTCCCAACCCTTCCGAGAAAATCTGTGCAATATATGACACTCAAACGCAAAATGAACAAAGTTCATTAACATATTTGAATATTCCTGCAAATTCTGCTAAAGATTTTGAACCCGATTCATCTGATGATAATTATGCTCCCAACTCGTCTGACCTAGAAACTGATTCTTCTTACTCCGACGATAGTGATGGTGATGATAGCGTGATAACTTACTATGAAAACAGTTCTGAAATCGAATTAGTTCAAATACTTGAAAATACTCAATGTACAGAAAACAATAATTTTGACGAGTGGGAAGACATTAACGATACAAAACCTGATTTCGATGAATTCACAGATAATTGTAGACCAAACATTCCGGATAATACTATAACGCCAGCAGATTTTTACAGTCTATTTGTAACGGATGAAATTATTGCGCAAATGGTAATAAACACAAACAATTACGCACAAGATCTTATTAGTAATCTAAGTAATCTTAAGCCTAAATCACGCTTGCGAGCCTGGACTCCTACAACTCCAGAGGAGATGAAAAAATTTTTAGGAGTGCTACTGGCGATGGGTCTTGTAAGAATACCACGTTTAAATGATTACTGGTCGAAAAGAAACATCTACAATAATAAATACATTAGTTCAGTTATGACAAGAGATCGATTTCTGCTAATTTTGAAATTTTGGCATTTTAGTCAAGAGTCACCTAACGACACAGACAAATTGAAAAAGATAAGGGATACTTTTAATAAGATTTTAGAAAGAATGCAAACCCTTTTGGAGCCAGGTCGGTATCTTATCATAGATGAAAGTATGATTCCGTGGCGAGGGAAGTTGAAATTTCGCCAATACATTAAAAACAAGTCCCACAAATATGGAGTGAAACTATATAAGCTCTGCACTCCAGAAGGATACACAAGAAACTGTATTATATATACAGGTAAAGGAGATAATGGTCGAGAAACTAATCATGGAAAGGAAACAGTATTAAGATTAATAAAAGGATTAGAAAATAATGGAAGAATAATAATAACAGATAATTTCTACAATTCCATTGATCTTGCGGAAGAACTTATACGTAAAAAGACCTTCATGTGTGGTAGTCTGAGACCAAATCGGAAAGGAAATCCTAAGAAAATAATATCCATAAAATTGAAACGAGGTCAAATAGTAGGAAAAATGAACCCAAATGGGGTAAGAGTTATAAAGTGGACAGATAAGAGACCGGTTCATATGATTTCTACGTGCCGAAATCACAATTTGACTCTTAAATCTACAGGTACGTATTACATATGTGTCATTTTAGATAAGGATGTTAGTTCATTTTTTCTGTTTTATTTATTTATAGAAGTAGCATTACAGTTGGCACTAAAGCATTATAACTAGCTATTTACATAATTATTTAAATGAAAAAATTAAAAATACATATGACGCAAAAATAAATACAAAATATAACTAGGTAAAAATTTGAGAAATTAGGAGTATTTTTTATAAATAAACTAGTATCCGCCCGCGATAAAATCTACAAATTTTGAGAAATTTAATTTGAATAAATTTATAGATACACTGTATCTACCAATATTTTAACTTGTATTTATCTCATTTTCAGGTAAGACGAACCGAATCACTGGAAACATAATTAAAAAACCACAATGCGTCATAACATACAATGAGAATAAAAAAGGCATCGATTTTAACGACCAAATGTCTTCATATTATTCTAGCTTGAAAAGAGGCGTGAAATAGTTCAGAAAAGTAATGATGGAGATATTATTTGGAACAGTCATAATAAACAGCTGGGTATTATACAATCACGGAAAACCAGTTCAAATGCCAAAGAAGAATTTTATGGAAGCAATTATTGAAGCTTTGACTCAGGTGCCGATATTAACAGAAACAGGTAATATATTTTTCCGTAATATTTAGCACTAGGTAAAGATATTCTGTCTGAGAAAAAAAATAACTAAAAATGATAATAAAATACTTAAGTGTAATTTAATACTGATACAATAACCTTATATTTTTTTCTCGGAGCAAGCTAGTTTTTATTAGTTGTTAAGTTTTAAGATAAAGTTAACTTTAAAATAGCAACAATCTCACACGGCGTTTCCCCTCTTGGTTTATTATTTAATTTGTTTCTTTTATTACAGCTAATGAATGTGCTGCTATGCCAAAGACGAATCATACCTTCGAAAACAAAGGGATAAAAAGAAGAAACTGTGCGGGTTGTTACAATAAGCTTCGTGCAACGTTAAATAGCAAAGATGCTCAAAGAAAAACCAAAAAAATTAAATCGTATTGCGCTGAGTGCAACAAGGGATATTGCGCTAAATGTTTTTACGAAAATCATCTATAACAGATAACAGTTAATAATAAAATAAAGTTGATCTCGATATTTCTGTACTTATGTTATTTCCCATCACTAAAATTATCCCAATTATACCATTACCTAGGTGCGGTAATGGGTCGATAAGCCTTATGTTTGTTTTTCTGTATATTTTCTAAATAAGTCATCGGAGCAATTTGCGACGCTAGTATAAGATAGGCTTACATTTTCTCAATAACCTAGTTAAAAAAATATTCAATATCAAAAGTTTTCGCAGAGTTATTAGAGTTTGAAGTGACCCATATCTTACCAGGTTTATTGACCCATTGACGCACCGGTGAAAAGTTTAGGTATAAGGCCTATAGACCTGGTAACGCACTGGGGGAATAATGTCTCAAATAGTTGCCGCAGCGAACGTGTTAAAGAGGAAGACAACATTGCTGCACATGCCATGTCCCGGATTGATTCGATTGTTTTCGAAGAAGATTACAGTGCATTAACAAAGGGGTCAGGTCCAGAACTTGCTGAGCATCGCAATTTACCTTCTTTAAAATTAAAGAAGGGAATATTCCCGGTACAGACATCACCATTTAGTGTGACACCTCACCTCGGATTCCGACTTTAACCTTTTCGTCGCGCAGCATTTGATCGCCTACATAACCTCAGTCACCCTGGTGTGCGGGCATCTGTACGCCTGGCGTCCAAACGCTGTTTGGCCGCAAATAAGAAATGACTGTCGTAGCTGGGCCAAGTTTTGACGTCGGTGTCAACGCAGTAAGGTAACATTTTTCACATATAAGACAGTTAAGTAGCCCTTCCAGTCGATTTCGCCATGCCCATATCGATATCGTTGGCCCCCTTTCAGTGGTCAGCCACCGCAGTCTATATCACCTGAAGATGCCTCGTGTAGAGGCGAAACAAGTGTCGTATTGTCGTCAGTGGTGTGTCTTTCCTAGTGTAGTGGTGTTGGAAGTAGTGGTGCTGAGATTAGTGGTGACGGTGATAGTGCACGCAATTGAGGGAGAGCGGGAGGTGCTCTTCAAACTAGGTAGACACATCATTTTATTTTATCGAGCAGATGCACGCGAATTAATTTTTTGCCAACTTTAATTACTTACTTTTGTATTGCATTTTTATTTTTAATTGGTTGATGTTAATTTATTGCTTAAATTTTACGCATGAAATTTTAATTCAACATTTTTTCATACTTTAGTAGCACAGGACTCTCTAGTATTAAAGTCTTATTAAGCTAAGCGTATTAGAATGTTTATTAATTCAATATTTATATTGATTATTAGTTATTACCTAGAATAGTCGTTAAACGAACATCACATTTCCATCACCACACTGGTGACCCCGAAGAAACGCTAAAACGAGTGATAGCAGTGATTCAGTAAAAAATTGACGGCTCAGTGGCGCAGTGGCTTAGCAATCAGTTGTTGCGCTGGGGGCCGCGGGTTCGAATCTCGCACGGAACAAGTATTTGTATGGCCTACAAATAATTGTTCCGGGTCTGGATGTTTGTCCTTGTGCAATTTATGTTTGTAAACTGCCTCCACGACACAGGAGAAAATCCTAGTGCGGGGGTAATATTTTTTAAAAATAAGAGAATAAAAAAAATAAAAAAAACCGCCGGATCAACGGAAAAGACAGATAAAGTGAACATTCGGGGCGTGTGCAACGTGTGCGCGTCCCTGCAGAAAGCGAGTTTGACAAAGTAGCGCACGTAAAGTTAACATAAAGGTGCATCTCCAGGTGAACAGGAGATCTGGTTTGTACTACTAGAAAGCTAATTTGAGAACATTGATAGAATCAGGCGTTACTTTGCGATAATCCATTATAATGGGGTTGTTATAAACTAATTTGCTTAATTCCGCGTAAAGAAAGAAAATGATGTGTCCTGCCCAGTTTTAAGGGGACCTCCCACCCTCCCTCAATCGCGCGCTCTATACCCGTCGCCGTTAATCCCAGCACTACCGCCAGCACCAGCACCAGCACCAGCACCAGCACCAGCACCAGCACACTAGGCACGCCACACCACTCTCGAAAATACGACACGTGTTTTGCCTCTACACGAGGCATCCTCAGGTGAAGTAGACTCTGCGGAGGCTGGCCGCAAAGTGAGCGGCGAGCCGAAACTACTGCTATTTATACTACTTGCTGACGCAACCGCGCTCCAATTACGTAGCGAGCGATTACGTCATGCGATCAATCTACATGCTTTGATGCTACAAAATTTACGAATGTAGTAATAAATTTAAATATATACACTAAAGCGGTGACAGATATTATCGTAAATCCTCCGGCATATAACCGCTACAGCAAGATAAAAACGGAGACAATTAGGCGTCTATCCGCATCTCACAAGAAGGTAAAGCAGTTAAATACGCACGAAAAGCTCGGGGATCGGAAACCGTCACAGTTTCTTCGACATCTGATGGACCTAGCGGGACCTTCCGTCCCAGAAGAATTTATTAGAACGATATGGAGTTATCGTCTTCCACACAATATTCAGAGGGTACTAGCATCTCAACCGACCCATTCCCTGGAGCAATTGGCTGACCATGCAGAACACTGTAACGTAGCGGTTGCATCTTCCAGCGCTGTCAATGAAATCGCTGAGCTGAAGAAGATGGTGGAGCGTCTCACGCTAAAACGAGATGAGCACACGCGCACAAACCGGAGGTGCAACAATCGATCCAGATCACAACGGCGTCGATCGACCTCACCTGAGCGTACACGGTCTAACCCCAACTATAGGAAGTATCCATTATGCTGATACCACACAAGGCATAGTGCCAATGATGGGTGGTGAGCCTTTGTGACTATCAGCCGATGGTAAATTACGCGGGTAATCACTAATAGCGACGGACGGTTTGCGCAGTTAACCTCGATGAGTCCCCTTTTCGTCGAAGACCACGTGACGAAAACAAAGTTCATGGTGGACACCAGCAGCGACCTCTGTACTTTCGCCTACAACGCACTAAAGGAGCGACGACAGAAAGTGAACTACCAGCTTTCAGCAGTGAATGGAAGTATAATTAACACATATGGTTATATTAATTTTAAACATAATTTAGGTTTACGTAGAGATTTTCCGTGGCAGTTTATAGTCTAATATACGAAGATCACAAGATCTTCAGGTACACCGCGCACACCAACACATCACACTAAACACCACATGCGCACCACACCAGGTACACCTATCTCTTGCTCACCTCGTAGGCTGGCACTCGATAAGTTCCTGATTCCCAAACGAGAGTTTGACATCATGTTAAGCAATGGCACAGCATGACCATCGGAAAGTTCGTAGTCATCACCACTCCATTTAGTGCCTAAAAACATAGATTCCGAGACGTAGTGGAGTTCGGAAGTCAGGGTTAACATTAATTGTGCGTGTAAACTTTTTATAATAAACCCTTAACTTTACTTAGTGTTTTTTTTTTAAAAGTCAAACGGGATCGGCCGCCTAACAAATTGGTGTCAGAAGTGGGATGCCAAGCAGGAGGTCATAGAAGACATTATCCGAATCTGTGGGCCCCGAAATCATCAAGGTCGACATTAAGCCTTAGCCGTGCCTAAGCCTGCGCCTACCACAATTTCAAACGACTCCACTCTGAAGCGGGAGCGCGTTCCACTCACACCTGGTCCTGAAATCTCCCGTCTGGCCGACGATAAGTCTCCACCAGGAGCCCGCACCAGCAGGATCTAACTCACCAACAAAAATTATTTGAAGAACTTTCTACGCCTTCCGGTCCTGCTATTTCCCACGACGTAACGGAATCAGCGATCCCGCCTGCCAGCCGCCACGAGTGTAACGTTTCACCGAGCTGTTGTTACGATGCTTAAATGCTACGTATAGAAGTTACTATCTTTCTGTAAGTCGTTTTGTTTTCTGTTGTTTAAATTTAAAATATACATTTATTTTACACTGTTTTTGTACTATTACCAACTTTTTACGTTTTACGTAACTTTAATTCTATGTCGCTTAAAGCAGAAAAAGTAAAGACAATATGTCGGAAAAAATCACACTTTCGTTTTTGACGAAATTTATAAAATCTTATAATGGGGAGAAAGAGTCCCTACTCACTTTTCTCACAAACTGCGACAATGCCATGTCGTTAGATACACCAGACCAACAGCCTATTCTATCCAAATTCATCATCTAGCAACTTGAAGAAAAAGCACAAGTTGCATGTACTTTAAAAACTTTTGAAACATGGAACCAAATAAAATCATTTCTCCGTTCTACTTTTGGGGAGAAAAAATACGCGACACATTTACTATCAGACTTCCAAAACTGTAAACAGTCATCCGAGGACGTCACTAAATTTTCTTTAAAATTAGAACAAATTTTAACAAAAGTTCAGTTCGATGTACACTATAGTTGCAAAAACAGTGATAAGCTTCCAGGTAGAATAGCCGCCATGGAGAATCTAGCATTAAATACATTTTATTAGGGTTAAACTTTGATATTTCCTTATTGTTAGATGTAGGAACCTTCAAACTCTAAATAAAGCTGTTCAATTAGCGATAGAAGAAGAAAAATAATAAAATTTTCAAACGTGTTCAAAAAATTCAATGAAACAGTGTAGTATATTTTTTTTTATAGAATTAGGGTGACAAACGAGCACACAGTACACCTGATGGTAAGTGGTTGCTGTGGCCCATAGACATCTACATCTATCTTCGATTACGAGTCTAAATGCAGATGCGTTGTCACACGTGAGGACTAAGATGGAATGCCTCGTTTCCAGTAAAAAGGGTCTCCGGTTCTCTACACTCACCATACGAAACACAGCAGCGTTATGCTGCTATTCTGTGAGAGCTTAGTCCTACCCCGGTCGAGCCGACCCATTCGTGCTACAACTATACCAGTAATAAAGCTGCAGCATGGCTCTACGACGTAATAAAGTAGGTCATGTTACTACTCAATGTTTTAAAAATAAAAATAAATTCTAATTATAATCATAATAAACAAATTTCTCATTTATCTAGCTCTAATTCTGGTAAGCTAATGTGTAACTATT